TGTGGTGGGAAGAGCCCGGAGCAGAGCCTGTCTCAAGGACTGTTTTTCTGTGGAGGAGGGTGGCACCACGTATTTGGAGCAGGGTGGATGGGGCTGGAGAGAGGAGGTGTGAGTGATGTTGCCAGCTCTGAAGGAATCTCTGAGCCGAATGTTTCCTCTCCAGGGCCAGGCTGAGGCTGTGCAGGCCAGGGCAGGGTTGCAAAAAAGAGGAGGAAAAAAAAAAAAACCACTCCAACTGCCCTGCAGTCGATTCTGACTCATGGCATCCTCTCCTGCAGAGCGGAACTGTGTCCGTAAGGTTTTCATGACTGTGGACTTTTGCAGGCAGATTGCCAGACCTTTCTTCCAGGGCGTTCTGGGTGGGCTGGAACTGCCAAGCTTTGGGGTCATAGCCCAGCGCCTGCCTGTTTGCACCACCCACGGCAAAATCACAGACAATACAGAATGGCCACTGAAATTCGAATTTCAGATACACAACGAATTTTTTTTACTGTTTCTTCATTGTGATATTTGGGTTATACCTGCACTAAAAAGTTATGCCTTGTTTACTTGAAATCCACATTTCACTGGGCGCTCTACAATTTTCCCGACAGACAACCCTAGCCACGGGTGGGGGCATTGCGCGGGTAGGGACAGGTCATTGGGAACTACGCGCCATCACTTCAGGGCCCAAAGCTGGAAAATGAGTAGCCGTTTCAGAGGGGCGGGGTGCCCGAGTGGGGAGAAGGTTAGGGTGTCCAAGGCACCAAGGAGGCGATGGGGATCCCGCGTTAGCACGTTGGTCTCGTCCCAACTCCCCCCGCCACAGCACGCCCAATGGTCTCGCCCTTAAGGCCCATCCATAACTCTACGCTCGGCCTCGATCGACTCGCTCCGGCTCCTCTCGCCGTCTTGAACTTCGGTGGAGTGCGGAGCCGCATGTAAGGTACGGAGGCCGCGGGATGCGGGCCGGAAAGTGGCCGCCGGGTGGCGAGGAGAACGCAGCCAGGGAAAGCCGGACCAGCTCAACGGAGCTAGGTTGGCTGGCGGAGCACAGGGAGCTCAGGGATCCAGCCGGCCACCGCCCCCTCCCATCGGGTCCTGCTGCCGGCCTGCTGCGCATGCGCAGCCGCAGCGCTCTTCTGTCCGCGGCGGCCGCGCGCAGGCGCGGCTCGACCCTGCGGCAGAGCGGGCGCCTGGGGCGTGATAGCACCCTGCCGGCCGTGTGGGGGGGTGGTGTCCCCGCGGGGCGCGTCGGGCGGGGAGAGTAGCCCATGACCTGGAGCCTTGGAGCTGTAGCTCGCCGCTGCCACACAAGTCCCGGAACCTCTCTGAACCTTAGTTTCCTACCTAACAATACCGCGTTAGCCTGTATTCCGACACCCAGCGACCCTATGGGACGGGGTGGAACTGCCCCATAGGAGTTCCAAGGTTGTAAATCCTTAGGGAAGCAGACTGCCACACCTTTCTCCCGCCGAGCAGTTAGTGGGTTTGAACTTAGGCTTAGCAGCGGAGCGCGCGCGTGCACACACACACACACACAGTATTCTTTCCTAAATCCTCTCCCCCCCCCCACACACACAGTATTCTTTCCTAAATCCTCTCTCCCCCCCCAGATGCTTTGACCTTACACCCTGCTGCTCAGCCCGTCCGGCCCTGCAGGGCCTCAGCCTTTCCTGCAGCCACAGCATGAGCAGCTCCCCAGGCACGGTGGGCAGTGACCCTGTCATCTTGGCCACCGCAGGCTATGACCACACCGTGCGGTTCTGGCAGGCGCACAGCGGGATATGCACGCGCACAGTGCAGCATCAGGACTCTGTATCCTCCACCCCTGGGGCGGGTGGGAATGGTCAGCTCCGATGGTGGCAGCTTCCTTGACTCGGCCAGCAGGTGAACGCACTTGAGGTCACACCAGACCGCAGCATGATTGCAGCTGCAGGTACCCTACCCCCACCCCCTGACTCCTGACCCCCCACTGGGCCGACCTTGGCTCCACCAGGCCTAAGCTTGGCCTGTGCCCTTAGGTTACCAGCATATCCGCATGTACGACCTCAACTCCAACAACCCCAACCCCATCATCAGCTACGATGGCGTCAACAAGAACATCGCGTCTGTGGGCTTCCACGAGGACGGCCGCTGGATGTACACGGGAGGGGAGGACTGTACTGCCAGGATCTGGGACCTCAGGTGGGGGCGCCCAGTGGGGGCCTCTGGCCTGGGAGCATGGGGCTGAAGGCTGTCTCAGGTCAGGTCTCCAGGCAGAAGCTGAGATGGGGTGTTTGGTGGGGGGTGTTTACTGAAGGAAAGAAGAGCAAGACGCCCAGGCATGAAACCAGGCAAAGACTGGAGGCTTGCCTCAGCTGGATCCCCCTGGGAGCCCTGGACAGAGAATTGCATCCAAGAACTAGGGCCTCCTGGTTTTTTTTTAATACCCCTAGGGGAGGGGGCTCCCAACAGCAGGAAAAAACCGTTGCCACGGGTTGCCTTCTGCTCCTATGGACCTTATGGGACGGGGAGAACTGCCCCAGGGGATATCCAAGGCTGTCAATCTTCACAGAAGCAAAGTCCAAACCACACCCACTGCCTGGAGTCCCTTCTGACCCATAGCGCCCCTAGAGGCGCTGAGTGGAACTGCCCCACAGGGTCTCCAAGGCTGTCAATCTTCACAGAAGCAAAGTCCAAACCACACCCACTGCCTGGAGTCCCTTCTGACCCATAGCGCCCCTAGAGGCGCTGAGTGGAACTGCCCCACAGGGTCTCCAAGGCTGTCAATCTTCACAGAAGCAAAGTCCAAACCATACCCACTGCCATGGAGTCCACTGCTACCCACAGTGCCCTTAGAGGACAGAGTGGAACTGCCCCACAGGGTTTCTGAGGCTGTCAGTCTTTACTGGAGCCAGCTGCTGCATCATCTTCCCGCAGGGTGGCTGGTGGGTTCAAACTGCCAACCTTACAGTTACCAGCCCAGTGCTCAAGCCCTGCATGCGCCAGGGGTTCTTCCCATCAGCTGAGGGACTAGTAAAGCCAGCAGGTAAAAGGCATCTGGGTACAGCACCCACAGCGTCAGCCACTGCACCCCCAGGTCCCGGAACCTGCAGTGCCAGCGGATCTTCCAGGTGAATGCACCCATCAACTGCGTGTGCCTGCATCCCAACCAGGTGAGGGGCCCTCGTGGAGCCGGGCGCCCTGTGGCCTGGGAGGGCAGGGGTCCTGGCCTGCCTCACTGGCCCTGCCCCCCAGGCAGAGCTCATCGTGGGCGACCAGAGCGGTGCCATCCACATTTGGGACTTGAAAACAGATCACAATGAGCAGCTGATCCCCGAGCCCGAGGTCTCCATCATGTCCACGCACATCGACCCCGACGCCAGCTACATGGCAGCTGTCAACAGCACCGTAAGCCCTGGGGGTGTGGCGGTCAGCCTGGCAGCCCCAGCCCTGAGCCCCTGCAGCTGGGCTCCTCCCCTCCCCGTAGGGCCCTGGCGCAGCAGGGTCCCAGCTCTGACGCCCTCTCCACCTCCAAAGCCGGTGCCCCTTCTCGCTGCCTTCCCAGCAGGCCTGTCGGCTCCGTCTCCCCTCCTTCCTCCCGTCACCTCCTGGTGCACAGCACCCTCAGCTCCCATGGCCTCCCACGGTGGCCAGCGTCTGACTGCATCTCTCCCTGCCTGAACCTGAAGTGCCGGCCTCCTGACTGGCTTCTGCCCTGCTCTCTCTCCAGCCTCCTTTCTTCCCTCGGCACCCCTTGTCCCACGGTGTCCCCAGGTTCCCCTCGGAGCTCTTGCTGTGCTGCTCACTGTCCCGGCATTCACAGTGTGCAGCGTCCTCCGGGACGGCTTGCCCGTGTCCTCGGCCAGCAGGGTCCTCGGTCGGATCCAGGCCTCCCTGGTGCTCTGGCAGGCAGGATCAGACTTGACCCACACCCTGGGCCCCTGGGCCCCCTGGGCCCCCATGACCGCCCCCCTGCCCTGTAGGGAAACTGCTATGTTTGGAACCTCACGGGGGGCATCGGTGACGAAGTGACACAACTCATCCCCAAGACCAAGATCCCGGCGCACACCCGCTATGCCCTGCAGTGTCGCTTCAGCCCCGACTCCACGTGCGTGTGGGCCTGCGGGCTGTGGGGCGGTGTCCGCTTCCCGGGGAGGGCTTAAGGGCTTGGGCCTGCCTGGTGGTCAGCACGGGGGGGATGCTGGGCGGAGCGGCTGCAGGGTGCACGTCCCCCCTCGCTCCGCCCCAGGCTCCTCGCCACCTGCTCGGCCGACCAGACCTGCAAGATCTGGAGAACATCCAACTTCTCCCTGATGACGGAGCTAAGCATCAAAAGCAGCAACCCCGGGGAGTCATCCCGCGGCTGGATGTGGGGCTGTGCCTTCTCCGGGGACTCCCAGTACATCGTCACTGGTGAGGCCGCCCGCCCTGCCTCTCCCTGCCCAGCCTCCCTGCTCTGGCTTGCACCTTGGCCTGGGCGGGGCCCCGTTCTGACCTGCCGCACTGTCCCTCCCCGCAGCGTCCTCTGATAACCTGGCACGGCTCTGGTGCGTGGAGACGGGGGAGATCAAGAGAGAGTACGGTGGTCACCAGAAAGCCGTCGTCTGCTTGGCCTTCAATGACAGCGTGCTGGGCTAGCCTGCACCCTTCACATTGCATCCGGGCTGCTGGAGGCCCCAGGCAGAGTGGACCCCACGGGCTAGCCTCCGCCGGCCCAGGCCAGTGGCCTCCTGGCGTGCCCTGGCCCCGCCTCGACCCACAAGGCCAGTCTGCTCTGGGCTCTCTCCGCACAGTTTCTCACGTGGATGTGATGGGGCTCAGAGGCCTGGCCCATGACAGGCTGCATGTGGCCTCTGGGTTGGCCTAGAGCTCCCCAGGGAACCTGAGGCTGGTGCCCACCCCCAGGCCCATGCACCCTGCCCTCCCTGCCCTCCCTCGAGTGCTGAGGCCACAGAGGACACACCACAGCCAGGTGGGGGGTTTATTAGTCCCGCGCTGCCCTCGGGGGTGGCAGGGCCAGTGGGGCGGGGTGGGGCTCAGTCGGGGAGGTAATAAAAGCAGACTGACGCGCAGATGTTGCCGGGGAAGCAGATGTCGATACAGAGGTAGATGAGCCGATGCTGCAGGGGCCCTGAGTGGAGGGGCGCAGGGAGGGCCGCCATCAGTCCCAGAGGGTCTGTCCTCCAGCTCCCACGCTGGGCAGACCCGTCCATAGCACCCTCCATGGCTGCCACGCTGGGCAGACCCGTCCATAGCACCCTCCATGGCTGCCACGCTGGGCAGAC